GTGTGAATCTTGAGTAGGCTCAGCTGGCTTGGAATTTGGCGAAACAGAATCGGATTCCTTTGACTTGAAACTTGGGAGCAGATTCTCTCCGAGTAGTTCAGATTCGCTTTTGCCAGGTTTATGCAGATTAATCGGACGACAATTACTTGTGTCGTACTTGAGACTTGTATCGTAAATGAGTTGCGGTCCCCGAATATGGTCCGTCAGCAGAGCCTCGGCCGTCTTCTGGCGAAACGGTGTAGAAATAGCAGCCTGTGTGGTTATGTTCTCAATTCTTCGCGCGCGACCCGAGTCTATTTTCCTAGATTTGCGAATCAAGAACATACTTCGAACTGTTGGAGAAGGGTGCGTCTCTCCCAAGTTTCTTGGTTGACCAACCGCTGCACCCAGATCTTTGTCCGGATCTGCACCAAATTCAGCAAGGTGGCACAAAGTTTTGACAACTTCATTATCCAAGTCTAGGCGTTCCTGACCAAGGACTTCGTGAAGAGGCATTATTCCGCGGGAGTCAGGTACATTTGCATCTACTCCAAGTTTTAAAATACGGAGAACAAATTCTGACATAGCAAACCTGCATGCTGCATGCAAGGCGGTAGTCCTATGTCTTTCGTGGACAATCGGATTGAGATTATCAGGTGACCGATCCATGAAAAGGTCTGCGATGGATAGATTGTTTTGGGAGATAGCTGTGTATAGGGGGTAAAATCCATCTCCGTTAGGCAAAGTTGCATTGGCTCCGCTTTCAAGGAGAAGAGACGCTGTCTGGTAAAATCCTCCGCCAGCGGCTAGATGAAGAGGCGTCTGCTCTGGGCTGTGGCAATCCAGCGATTGCCAACAGTTATAACCACAGTTATGTGCTCGCGATGATACCGTTTGAAGATTTATGTCCGCGTTAAAGTGTAGTAACGCGCGGACAGTATTTTCAATTGCGGTTTCCCAAATTTCATTTACAGAGTCCAATCTGAATTCGTCGCGGAAGAATATTTGATAGTAGGGCCAGGGAGTTCTTCTTGCTATCGCGCAATGAAGAGCGGAGTAGCCGAGGGGACTAAGGACATTCGGATCGGCTCCGGCTATCAAGAGAAATCGAACAGTCCTCGGGAAGCCATATATACATGCGATTCGAAGCGCATTGTTTAGTACTTGGGGGTTGCAAATGCGAGATTGTGCCAATGTCATGTATAAGGATGTGAGGTCGGGATAATTTCCCATGGAGGAATTGACGGAGGTTCCATGCTTGGCTAGGTGTGCCACCACCTTCGGTGCATCGTTAAGTATCGCGTCTTGGAGATAGGTAATCCTAGTTGATCTGGGAGTAAAACTTCATGATACCTAGGTAATTAGCTGATTGGGCATATGCATAGGTACCTGGGTAACTTAGGTAGGCTAGGGACAGTTCCGTAACAATACCCCAACTTACCCATTGAGATCTAACTCATCATTATGAGACAGCAACCATTGTACCAAGTTAGATGAGTCATATTTAACAATATGAAGGAATAGACGGAAAAGAACTCCAGACGGCTCTGCAGTTGTTGTTATTGTTTCGTAAATCCTATCGGTGGCGTAATCGAATAGTTTCCAGTGAAGCTCCCTATTCACTAGAAGAAGAGATCTTACACCATCGATAGGGAGCTGGTGGACAATTTGAAATGTCAATTCTAGGGGAATTTTATCTAATTGCGCCATCTGTGTGAGTGGTAACCAAACGAAGATAAACGCAAAAATAATATATCTAGGAGGGCGAGGTGGAAGTGTGGTCTTGTAAGTGCGATAACTGGCTTAAAATAGGTAACTCTAGTCTCCGGGAGGCAGCGACTGTTTCCGGTTCAACAGAGGTACCAATCGCGCTTTACATGATGTCTCGGTCCCATGCATGATAAACGGCTGGATGCCCAGAATTCCATAGGTAGCGAACAGTTTTGATTATTGGCACGGAAAGGGTGGTCTCGGTTTTCCCCTATCTGGTACATTGTGCGTTGGGCATCTATGTTGTACGACCGGCTAGTTGTTATTCTGCAGGTAGGTAGGGGCGGTGGCATCTCCAATAAGATGGTGACAACTTCATCTTTTAGGTAAGCACTCGCACTCGCACGCGAGGTTCGTATTTGTATCTGCGCCTTTTGCAGCCATCGGTAATTCTAGGCATCAGATCTCTGTGTCGTGTGGTACCATCGGTACCTAAGTATATTCAAGACAATGGTGAAAACGAGAGGATGAGAAGAAAGATCGTCGACCTTCAGGAGCCAGTCTTTTCAAATGATCACCAGGCAAAACTTTCGTTATGCCACCATACGTTCCGTCCCTTCTTCACCCACTCCCCTACATATTCCCTTAGCTCGCGAGCCATCTCTTCGGGGCCACAAACCAACACAGCAACTCGGTCTTCTACTCCTTGTCTAAAGACATCATCGACGATATTACGTAGGTCGGGTCGTTTGTGGATTTGCCTTAGGTCAGTGCGCATGTTGTGAGTCAGCTCTATCGCTTCTACCTCATCGCTCGACCTAGATACCACGCTTTCGTTTGTAAGAATATTCTCCGTCAGGAACATTTGAATGTTTTCATCCTCTAAGATGTTTTCGCCGGGATCGGTAATAGGCCAGGTGGCATCGCCAGCCCCACGAATCGCCCAAATCATCTGTACTCGAGCTGCCGGGTTTTCGTTCGCAATCATACCTAGAGATTATTAGCGGCATATACGAGGATGTAAATTTGAACCTCTTCTCGGTATTGAGATTCAGAAATCTTGTCTTGCACGGGCACAAGAGCCCGCCCTGAGGGAGGACTTGGTGTGGTGGCGAACGAAACAGAAATGCCTTATCCACTTACTGTACATTAAGTTAGCATCCACTGAACGAACGTCCGACACGGGAAACGGATACAAGAGAAGACATACCGATACAAAGGTAGAATGAATGTAGCACCAACCCCGCCGGCTACAAGCAGCACGCGATGAAAGTCAGGTCCACCTAAGTTTGGAAACCAAGCCGCACACCCATAAGGACCATCAATGCTGAGCGGTATTTTAGTACCTGACAAGCCATCCTGCGCATGCTGCGCCAGGGCCTTGGTCATAGGTCCTCTATGGCGTCGCGCAACTAGAGTCAAATCTCCTGACTCTTCGTCCACTGACGCAATAGTGAATGGGTTGAATGAGAACTCGAATAGGAGGTACGTCGATATACTCCGACGAGCAGCAGCCGGAAGACTCAAGTATACATGCATACCAGAGTACTTGCGATACCGGTCACGCTTCTTCGGCGGGATGTTGGTAACAATCTTTATGAGGCTGGTTCCAGGGATAAGCTCTAGAATAGCCGGTGCTGTAAATGTATCAAACTTGCGCTTAGCAAGATCGATTAGGAAGAAGAGGAATGCTTCTATCACATATTGCCGGCCTCCATGGTGTGAATGGAAAAATATGGCTGGTGGGAGCGACAGTGCTACTACCACATGCGTGACGAAGAAGATACGGTATGAGTACTGGCGGATTACTCTAAGTGATGTGGTGTTCATAAAGCTCATGCCAATGAACGATCCAACACCAAGTAATGGCACCAGAGTAACCAGTCGTTCTGCGAGGATGCCTTCATGTATATAGAAGTTCAAATATAGGCCCGCATGCATAAACAGTAAAAAGTATATGACCCAGCCGAGAACACGATGCCATCGGTTGATTTGCTCGTGAGATGAGCCAAATGCGAAAGCGATAGGATTTAAACTCTTGAGCGCTAGAAGATATTGCAGTGGGAATTGCGACAGAGCGACTATCCCAAATCGTTTTGTCAAATGAAGATAATCTAGATTCGATTAGCTTCCGAATGCTGCGCCGTCCGTCCTAAAGCTGTCGGCGAGTAATACTTACCATCCCCAGTGCCAATTATGCACAATAACAAGAGCCACACGGTCCAGACATACCCGACAAAGATCTGATCTCTTTGTCCCCAGTTTACACCTAGGAACACAACGTCATCACCAAACCACCACACAATCCTTCTCATAATGCCATACCAAGACCCGGCGGTACTTTGCCTTACCCGCTTTAGCGCCGGAGAGGCTGGAACGGCCTCATAAACCCCGCGTTGCGGTGAGGCTCGTCTCACCAGCCATGCAAGGAGACGGTAGAGCACCACGATGGCGATAGGGATGAATGCGGAAAGCTGCGCATACGTTCCATACTGATTAAGCGCTAGGCGTCTCGCATGCTTCTGATCCGCGTCAAGCGCATAAATATGGTACGGCCAACCCATCGTTTGCCAAGGAGTTGTCGGAGTTTGACCCAGGTCAGGGGAAGCGAAGATGTTGGTCTGCGATTTTGCCGACCCGGATAATTCCCTAGGACTTCTCAAGATTAGCCAATTAAAAAGCGAACATACCAGTTCGCTAATCTTGAAAGTCAAGATGGCCACTTTTCATAAGTGTGAATGAAATGGGTAAGAAAAGGAATCACGATTTTCTCGGGCATCGGAAACGGAGATTACCAATTGATATCCGAGCACGTTTATTCGACTGCGCCGCGACGAGCTGGGATTAGCCACAGTTGCACACCGAAAGCCACCATCAATCAAGTTACTTGCAGATAATTCCCAAACTGCCAAATAGGTAATTAGGTAGGTATTTAAGGAACTCAGTGAACAACAATCACATACATGTTGGATAACTTTTAAACGGGACTGCCTATACGCTTGAACCCATCGTCTTCTCAGGGTCTTATCTCGGAATACTATGATGTTTGAGTTGTCAAAGGCCTCCATATCGTTCGAATACTTGAAGCTCGACTGCTCCTCGCCCCTAACCCCTTTAGGATTGGCGGGTACAACTTATTTGATGGTGGAAGTTTGTCGGATAATCTAATTGGCTTTAACCTCGTAAGAATCCCCGCTTCCAGCAAATACCAATCGAGTCATCGGCGAGCGGTGACAAATTTGTAGTATAACCTCCCATAGCCGGTCAACACCCATCCAATGAAGAAAGATTCAAAGTCTGAATCTTCCTCTGGTTTGGTGGTCTAGTGGTATGATTCTCGCTTAGGGTCCACCCTACAGCTACAGCTTGCGAGAGGTCCCGGGTTCAATCCCCGGCCAAACCCTTCTTTTTGCCCTTCATTGAGTGAGTTGAGTGAGGTTGAAGATCGTTTTTTGTTCCTTATTGTTTGTTGTTGACCAACTGAGTTGTGCTGGTGGACTTGAGCACAGAGCGAAAAGTTTTTTTCAATCTGATAGCAAAGCCACAGTCACATTAGCCACGATGACCCCTCAATTTGTGGCTCATTAGATGCGCAGTCTCCCTCCCCCTTACACATGTACCAAGTACATGCACTCAGATTGAATGACTTTCCTCGCAAAAACGAGAAGGAATAAAAGAGGTATAAATCTTGAAGTCTCACTCAAATCACTGGATCCCTACTTGGGTAATATTCCCTGCTTAGGAGGTTGGGCTTAAAGGGGGGAATTTTTAGAAAAAAATATATATATAGAATATAGCAAAAATATGCATTAGCCGCGAATCGAACGCGGGGCCCATCGATGGCAACGATGGATTTTACCACTCTATTTCATGTTAGTCGGAAGTACTCTAGAAGTAAATACAAGAATCACTCACAAACCACTAATGCCACTTGAGACTGACAATTCAAGCTCATTCGATAAAAAGTACCATGCTTATTCTCCTCTATGTAGTCAGTGCGGGTCCTAGGGCTTCCTGCAACCTAGACTGTCTTTCCCCAGCCCACCCAGATGCCTCCACCGAGTAACAAATGACGAGGTTAATTGCATAGCTCACGAACTACTATATGTAGCACTATATAGTGCACTCGTTTAGCTTGCACAGTCGTATATAGATACTGTCCTATGGCATGTCAGTAACATCAACTACGACAAGCAAAACCTCCAACTTACCATCATTCCCTCCCATCCAAACCAGCTTAATATCCACGCAAATGTGGTTAAGCTGCCTTGCCAAATGACATGTTTCACCGATGACCGAAGTAACTCATCTACCACCTTCTTCGCATACACTTCAGGTTCTGTATACGGCGCCATGTCCAACATCTTTCTCCCCTCAATGAACACTTTCGCGGGGCGGTACAGGCTATCCTCCGGCAGCTTCGTCGGGGGCGCGTTATTGAATAACTGACTGCTAATGCTTCCCGTCTTAACCGTTACTACACGGATACCCAGAGGCGCAAGCTCGGTCCGAATAGTTGCGCCGAGGACTTCGACTGCGGCTTTGGACGCATTGTAGATCCCGAAGAAAGGCGGTCGGATATTAGCGTTAACACTGCCGATGTTCACCACTAGGACATCTCCACCTCTACTACCATTCTTCTTCGCAGCGGTCGAGGCGGCAAGAAGTAAAGGTAGGAATGCACGTGTCACGGCGAATACACCGAGTACATTAACGTCCAATATCTTACGCGCCGCCTCCACATCCGTGTCGGCGAACGGCATTGCAAGAAGAATACCCGCATTGTTGATCAGAATATCTAGCGTGCCGCCTGTCAATTTCGAGACATGCGAAGCAGCCTGCTCAATCGACGATTGCGACGTCACATCCAAAATCACAGTCTCGATATCGCGATCTCGCAGGTGTGCCAGCAGTGACTCGGAGAGCCCGGTCGCAAAAACGCGATGGCCCCGCATGTGGAATTCGACAGCGAGAGCTGAGCCGATGCCGCCCGGGCCGCAGCCGGTTATCAGGACGGTTTTAAGACCCATTGTCATCCTTCTATATGTGTCTCTAATTGTCTCGCAGGCGGCTTTCCATAGTTGAGGGTGCTAGGTAATGGAGAAGGAGATCCTGCTGATCTTGAACTTAATTCATCAATATTCTTACTTTGCTGGCGACTGTGTATACACAGTGCGGTACAGTATCGCAAGCCACCCCCTTTTCTACAGAGCATAGGAAAAGTGTACTTTATAATAGGGAAATATGCAGCTCCGACAGGAAGCTCATGCTAGTAAACCAATATGTAGCTGCCTAACTATATGCCTAGGTAGGTAGGTATCTAAGCTATTATATCATCTCCTTAGACGATTAAGTAAGTAGTTCTAGCTAGATTTCAAGCAGTTTCCCAAAAGCACTTGCAGACTACCTATCTAACAAAATTCCGAGTCAGTGTTGTAACTTCTAACATCCCTAGCTCCGCGCTCCTCTAGAAGTTTGATTATCACATCGCGACGATACCTATATCTATATGCATGATCAAGAGGTGTCAATCCATCAGAATCCCGAGCATTGATATCGAAGGTACATTGAAACGAGCTTGCGTCAAGCAAATACTCTAGAGCCGGCTTGTTTACCAGAGGCCGTTTCATAACCCAGTGGAGATGCTTGGGACCAAGCTCTCCTCTATAGGTTGAACATGACCCAGTCAGGACGAGGTCGCAAAGAAACTCCCTTGTCTTGCTTAGGGGTGCGCAGAAATCATTCGGGAAGCAGGATCTCTCAAAGAACCAATATATGATATACCAGAAATATTCATTCGAGCTGAAACGTTGCACCAGTGCTTTCGTCTCCTCGATGTAGGCATCGTGTCCCACTGCTCGTTCAAAGGAATGCGCCAGCTGCTTGCCGTCGTTTTCCGGGTCTTCTAGTAGACAAATTAGATAAAACGCGTGATAGTAGGAACCGCCCGAAATGGCTCGTTGAAGAGGAGTAAGCGGGGTTTCATCCCAATTGTTCCTCGCGGCTCTGAGATTCGGGTCGGCTCCGTACTGAATCAGCAAATCTATTACCTCTTCATTAGGCGAGATGTCCATGACAGCAAAGCAGAGCAGCCGTGAAAATATGGAGCTGTCTTGCGGGACACGGATGCCGCCTCCAATGTCACCGTACTGCCTGGAAAGTAGGACTCTGAGCACACTCGCCATCCTCTCCCCTGCGGCCAAAGCAAGCGACGCGGATACTTCCCTTCCATCTCTCCGTTCATTATAATTAATGTACTCGCTGTGATGAGCTAAAAGGAATGCGACATCTTCCTTACCCGAAGAAATAGCATCTATAAGGGGGGTTGCATAATGTGTTCCGTCGTCCAGGAAAACAAGCCTGTGCATGTCACGAAGCTGGTATGGAACCAGGTGAGAAGTCATTTGATAGGAACCATCCGATGTATAGAGCGAGGTAGAACGAAGACAGTCCACGAAAGCTCCAGCACGAATAAGCTCAAGAGCAATATCGTAGTGGCCCTCCTCGGAAGCCACTGCGAGAGCTGTTTTTTCGGAAGGGTCTTTGCTGTCGATATATAAAGGATTGACTACTGTGGCAGCCTTAATAGCTGCCTTTAACACTGGGAGCAGGCCATGAAAAGCTGCCCAGTGAAGAGCAGTTGGCAGCGGTCTCATATGACCGGGCCGTTTCAAATGAGCTATTTGCTTTAGAACATACGGCCTGTCGATTTCATTTTCAAACATCGAAACGTCGATCTCAAAACTGCTATAATATACTTGTTGTATGTCGGCCTCCGTATTCATAGATTCAATGACATCGACACGATATTGGACTCTTTCCAGTGGTTCAGCGTATTGGCGACATGTTTGACGAAGTCGAGAAATATCCCGCCGTGTGAGGAAACTCCGAGCCATATAATAGACAACATCGTATGGGAGCTTTCGTTCCATTTTGGGGAAACATGAAAAGCAATGCGAGTAATTTCGATTACATATGCCAGCGTTGACCATGCCAGCCTACAATTGGTAAGTAGGAGGAGCGCATTATTTAAATGATTTTCGTATATATCAAATATATACAGATTTACAGATTTACTCACAATGGACCTATCAAAGGGTTTTTTTTCGTTTTTCATAAAAGAACAATGGCCTTATACCTAGGACCTAAGTACAAGGCTTCGAAGAGAACTTCAAAGATTCTTAGCAAAGTAACATAAATAGACAAAGGCATTTGATAGGCCTAGTTTGAGGGATAAAGGTTTGAGGGAAATGGCTGTTATTGCACTCACTATCAACCTGCATCTCACCCATACGAAGGAAGGTACCTAGGTTCTTTAGCTGAAGAGTACATAGCTTGTATTGTCTGACGCAGTATGTACCTAGGCAAGCACCTATGTTAAGAGGTGTTTTCCCACGTAATATGCATTATTTGCTTTAAAAATTCACTAAATTTCCCTTGCCAAAACCTTTGTCCCAGGTGTAGATACATACTCAAGCATATTGCATCCATGGGAATCAAGGTGCTGTGCACAATTTAGCTTCTATTTGTTGCTTTTATTTTTCATACTGTGTTATGCAGATTGAGTTAGGAAGAAAACACGGCGTAGATACAGTGCTTAAGCCATTTTCACTGGGAAACGTGAGAAAAAATACCTATGAGCAAGACTTTATTGCATTTCAAACTGTTTCTTCATATCATACTACTCAATGTCTTCGCCACAAATATAACCTCCAAATACATGGTGACTGTGTGTATCTCTATAAAAGGAGACATAAAGCTTCTTGATAATAAATAGCACATAATTCGCTAGTCACAGTTTATATTGAAGCCTTCATTACTACGATGTACCCTAGATACCTAGTAGCTAGGCCTATCTTTTGGTAGGTGGTATAATTGAAGCACTTACTTTGTCTAGTTAGGGTCATTTGGACCTGAGAGTTTAGTTGTGAGACCGTTAGAAAGAGCTGTTAAACAGCCAATAATTAATCCATCTGTACCTTCCGTGTGGATTGTTGGAATTAAGTTTAGATTCCTGTAACTCCTTCACTAGAGACACCCTTTCTTGGTGGGTCAGGTTGCTCTAGAAATCTGCATCTTTTTTTTCTTGTTTTTGTTACTGGTTGACTGGGTAGGGACGCCAGGTATGCGTTTGAATCACTGCTACCCTGCCCAATGGGTATATACTGACCCTAGTGAATATGAACCAAAAATCTAATCAATTTCCAATTCACTTTTACCATCATTCAATAAATGCAGAAAAGCCCTAGTCACACTGTTGTCATTCATTATGGCCCGGGGTGCCAGTGTGTATTCTCTTTCCCTTGGAAACATTGACATCATTTTATCATTGAATACCTATTCAATCAATTTCTCTGGTAATTCACTGAGCGGTTGCCCTCATTTCTATTTAAACATGCCTTC